GTCATCTCACTCGCCATCTCACTCACCATCTCACTCGCCATCTCACTCGCCATCTCACTCCCATCTCACTCACCATCTCACTCACCATCTCGCTCACCATCTCACTTCCATCTCACTTCCATCTCACTCGCCATCTCGCTCGCCATCTCGCTCGCCATCTCCCTCACCATCTCCCTCACCATCTCCCTCGTCATCTCCCTCGTCATCTCCCTCGCCATCTCCCTCGCCATCTCACTCGTCATCTCACTTACCATCTCACTTACCATCACAATTGAAGCTAGTCCTCCAGCCCGAAAACTCTTAGAAATGTCTATGATGCGTTGAGCTAGGACCGTTATTCAATATATTCCAAAAAATTATCGTGGTTTAATAGATCAATAACAGCAAAGTCAATTGTGTTATTTAAATCATTTTGTTATGAAGTCTTTCAGGACTTCCAGCTCTATATACAGACTACCAACATTTTATTTTTGCTTGTACTTTGAACTAGTGATCTATTTATTTCAAGCCATTTGCTAAGTTTTTCACCATCACAATGGCTATTTCTCTTTTTGTTCACAGAGAAACGGGTGAAATCAAATTTTTAACAAAAGGTGACAATAATTCAGTTGATGACCGTGGTTTGTATGCACCTGGTCAGCTCTGGTTACAACGCAAAGATGTAGTTGGTAGGGCTAGAGGTTTTGTACCTTATGTTGGCATGGTAACCATATTAATGAATGATTATCCAAAATTTAAGGTAAGTATGTCAGCTGTGTGTATTAGCAGAGGTCTGGCTTTTGTCACTCCATACATAAATTTTGAGATCTATGAATGAATTCTGGCAATAAAACCACATTGTATTTGTTGCGCAATGCCCTAAATATCAGGTATAAAGCAGTCTGTGAGGTAGATGTCAACCGTTCTCTTTGCCTGGTGTCATTTCACCTCTTGGGGGCGCTGTGTGATAACGTCACTAATGAACATGATGTCTTAGCCATATTGCTATTGTATACATGTACCTATTCTATTCTGGTTTCCACAAACGTTGAATAGCCAACAAAAACTTTTAATACAATTAGTACAATTAGTGTTGTTTTTCCCCAATAAATAAACATGGGAAAAGTCATTGAATTGAATGCATGGACTGAGTGACAGAAAATATTTCTAAGCCTGACATAACATTGATGTTAGTTTTGTGTATGTTAGATATTACTCTATGTTTGTAAATATCTCGTTTGTTTGAAATATCTGTTTCCCGGTAATATTTTTTTTTGAATGTTGATCGCCGTTGGTTTCTGCATGCTGAGTTTGGGATGCGTCAGTCTCAACGTCTGTCATTCAAGCCAAATATTGATTGTAATTATTTGAGGACTGGAAACCAAAATAATTAACACTATTTATTACCATATTTGTCTTCAGTTAGGCGCCACCTTCAATTAGGCGCCATTGTCATGAAAATGTTGCATTTTACACCCCAGACAGAATTGAAATTTAATTGAATTAAGCGCCGGCACTTATGAAAGTGCCATTATGAAAGGGCCCTTATGAAAGTGTTTTGTTTTGCTGGTGAAGTGTGAATTATAGAATGACAGACGACTGTCAATCATGATTCAGATTACGTCATGTACAAAGCAATAATACAAGCAAATAGAAAACAGTATTTTACATTCCTTCCTTAGCATATTGATACATAAAAAAATAAAAAATATGTAACAAAAAAATTACCATTACCAAAAAAAACCTGCAAGTTGTGCCTCAAACTCCAAAAGGGTTACTGGTTAGTAGCGATAGATGCAATTGCAGAAGTCCCTCACTGCTACTGTACGATGTTTTTTTATGCAAAAAAATTAGTTCTGTTTCTAAAAAATTTTAAGAACATAAGTACCCGATCATTCCATCATTACTTCACTCATTACTGATTCTCTTGTAGACAGTACATGTACATAGTATTATTTCGCAATTGACAATCATGCCAGAGACCAACAACGAAAGCAGTACTCAGCAAAATTCCATTCATAATTTTTTTTCTGTACCAACTACTAGTACTCGACTGGTGCATCGACCAGCTTTGCATCCTCAAATGTTGTTTCTAGTATTCCAG